CGAGGAATCGCTTGTTTCATAATTGTTGAGCTTACTTCCATTTCGAGTGAAAGTGTTGCGTGTAGAGATTCGAAGGTGGCTTCCACCAGAAGACGACGGCGGATTCCTCTCGACCAGCTGTCGATTGACTTTACTGGAACATTCATGCTGGCGCTGTTTCCGAGGCAATCTTCTTCGATTCCGGTGAAAAGGTTCTAAGCTTTCGTCAGTCATATGACGAATATCATCATCACAACCAATTTCCAGCTAACGAGTCAAGAAAACCGACTTCCACTCGAAATGGAAGTAAGCTCAACAATTCTGCGACGCTAGCCTGAGGTCTTCTTCGCACAATCCAGCCATCGTAACTTTTTCCGTTTCTGATGAGGTCAATTTACTAACCCTTTTTATCGAAATAAGTGGTACGCCACGGCCAGTCCTGACCGACAGCGAGAACTGGATAGTACCTCCAGCCACAACTGGTGTTTTGGTGGTACAGATCGCAGCTTCTGGAGGTTCCTACTCCGCCACGGGGCCCTGACACTTTGGCAGACAGTCAAGCCCGACCTACTCCCACCTTGACATCGAAGAATTCGTATGATTTTTATCAACATAACACTAGCTTTCCCGTACTTTCACATTTGTATTCCGCCAAAAGTGTAAACAATGGTAGACTGGGTTGCATAATTTCGTGTGTGGCTATTTGTGTGCAAAGGCGACAGGAGTTTTGCTCCGATTGTGGTCATTTCCGATTTAGTGTGGCTGATATGTGCACCGGTTGTGCAATTCCTCCTGACCATGACTACACGAACATACGTTCTGGACATTGTGCTCCAACTCTTCAGTGCGAGGCTTTACTTTCTTCTCAGCTTCTAACTACATTCTATTCTCTCCTGTTTCTTTGCTTTGTTGCCATGCTGACTGGCTGGCCGGCCTCCTCTTCTCTCTCCCTCCCTGGGTGCGGACCACATTTGCACACACACAAACACACACACACACATATATATGTATATAATGTACATGTATATATACATACATGCAACTAAAACACACATGGGTTGCAATCGAGCTGCCAAAATCTAGCACATAAGCGTGTTCACTCGCCGACTTATGATTTTGAGGTAAGCGCCTCAGCCAAAGCACTAAGGACTCCAGAATCTGATGCAATCTCTTGGGTTGCTTTTCTCGTTGGCCTTCGCAGTGAACCGACAGAATTAGGCGCCCTGGCCAGCTCACCTGTTTCTCATGTGGCCATGTCGGGGGCGGACACAAAGTCGTGTGTGCAGTCACACTCAGACACTTGCATGTCTGTCTGTTGGGGTGGGTGAGTGGTGTGTTTTTGCGTTGTCTCTCTGCTGGCGAGAAGTTGAATCGATCTCTTTGCGTGGCTACAATCGTGTTGTCGTCTTGGCGAACCTCTTCGGGTGCACTGTCCATCGTCTAGTCGGCAATTGGCTGATTTCGCCTCGTCTCTAGGCGCCAAGGACGGCGTCTGTAGTCACCGCCTTGCACAAAATGCATCCGAATTTCGACCCGGTCGACTTGCTCAACTTCATATCTTCAACTGCCGACTCGGGAGCCTTGTTGCCTTTCTTCGACGCTGGGATTGAAATAATCTACCATTTTGAGGCAGTCTTTAGAAAGTCAAAATCACACAATGTCATGCATGAGTGATGTTGGAGTACCTCTTATTTGGTTTGAAGAGGCGAGTGGAAGGTCCCACCGGAAGGTGTGATTACAGATTTATGTGAGTAGGTCCTGCCACTGCGATGAGTCCTTGCTGACCTTTGGTCCGTCCTGTGACGGTGGTACTTCTCGCTTCTCTCTCTCTCTCTCTCTCTAATCCTATCCTACAGTCATAAGTAGTTTCCACTTAACTTCCTAGACTCATTGCTT